GATCAAAAAACAGGCCATCCTAAGAAGTCAGACTGGCCATAATTTGTGTTCTATCTGCTAAAAAGTCTGTAGTTCCTAAAGTTTCTAATGTGTCATATTTATAGTATTCGATTATGTCATTAAGAACACCCCGCCATCATTTTCGTAGGCCATGAAAAAAGCTGAAACGATAAGTGAACACTTTAAATGTAGTCTCCAGAAAAAGCTAGGAGGAGAAGATTAAATTAATTGGTGGACTGGACCCGTATATGGGCAGGGAAGTGAATGGTACATTTTGAAACTTTAACTATTGCTGTGTATTACTTCAATATTCACTCCAAAAAAAAAGCAAAGGAAATTCGGTTTTCCGTTCTGGGACTCTTTAATAAATGGGGTGGGGGGACACAGTGGCATGTACTATCCACAGAGGGATGGGAGCCTTAAAAAGTTTGAGATCTGTTTGATTGATTTACACCAATATATAAAACATTGTTCTTTTTTGACTGAAAACAATGTTTTCCAGTGGCCTCCTGATCCTTGATTCAGTGTGGAACAGTATCATGGGGCACATCCTGGCTCTCAAACAAGCTGTCCAGACAGTTCTAATAGCTCAAAGGACCTTTATTACATCTCCACTGGATAATCATACCTGTCCTCAGAGCTACACACCCTACAGCTGTGCCATTTTCCAGATTCCTGGACGTCACCTTAACCCTAAGGGCCATTGCTAATGCTAGTGGGCAGTGCATATGTTTTTTCACTTGGCTGTGGTTCTTAAAGATGCAATTTGGCCGAAAGGAAAACTGTAACCATTGCTACATCTGTTGTAAACATGCTTCCTCGCCTCCTACGTGGATGCCTAAAGTAATTTTATCTGATTTAAAGACTAGGAAACCCCCTTCTGTCAGAGGCAGGCTGTTTAAAATGTGCTTCTCCTGCTAGCTGGCTAAAGGAGGAATCCAGCAAGGCTGCAACAACTAATCAACATTATCAATAATGCTGATAATCTGCAATTTCCCTTCGGGGTCAATAAAGTTCTATCTATCTATAACAAAAAATTATATTTGGTTATGGTATTGGGAAGTAAATACGGTTAGCAGACTCCATTTTTGTCTAAACTGAATAGCAATACAATACTTATTGCAGTTGCTCAAGTGCTAATGCACACAGACCTGCTTGTTCTCATGGAAATGGAATTTTTTTGAAAGCATACTTTTTTCTCACACTATTGATCTCCCGCTTGCATGAAAACAGTGTTTTAGGCCATTGAAAACCATACTGTTGGGAGACGCTCTACTTGGTGGTTATAAGCTCATTTTTCTGTGTTATTATGATGACAGATATTTTTGAACATGATAATATCACACACATATTTACTGCTGTTTGACCATTAACATACTTTATGGTCCTACATGTCATGGCTAATAACTGGGCGGCGACACACCTTCATTAATTTATCTTTGCATTATTGTTAAAGTAGAAATAATTTGAAAAGCAATGCATGATTCTTGTAGAATCAAATTTCCATAAAAGAACTTGGCCTGCCATGTAAGTTTTGTAGCTTTTTCATGTATTGTACCTTTCGTGTGTCTGCTCCTCTGAAATAGCATTTCTGAGGTCAAAGAAGAAGACCCCTTGATTTTAATAAAAGTAGAATACAAATATGATTTATATATTGATTTACAAGAGTAGATTTAGAGAATAAAATTACAGCTAGGAAGACTAATCTCACCTGTATTAGTATCTACAACAGTGACTATGCTAGCAGTCAGGATTTCTTCATCGCTAACAGAAGATGAATATAGATAGCTAACATTACTGCTAGGAAGACGAATCTCACCTCTATTAGTATCTAAAGCAGCAAGCTATACTAGCAGTCAGGATATCTTAATAATTAACATTACTGCTAGGAAGACAAATACAGATAACTAACATTACTGCTAGAAAGATGAACACAAATAGTCAACATTACTTCTAGGAAGACAAATCTTACCTGTATTAGTACCTAAAGCAGTGGCTATGCTAGCAGTCAAGACTTCTTCATCGCTAACATTACTGCTAGGAAGACGAATCTTACCTGTATTAGTATCTATAACAGCGGCTATGCTAGCAGTCAGGATATCTTAATAATTAACATTACTGCCAGAAATATGAACACAGATAGCTAACATTACTGCTAGGAAGACGAATCTCACCTTTATTAGTATCTACAACAGCAGCTATGCTGGCCATCAGGATTTCTTCATCGCTAACAGATGATGAACACAGATAGCTAACATTACTGCTAGGAAGACGAATCTCACCTGTATTAGTATCTAAAGCAGCAGCTATACTAGCAGTCAGGATATCTTAATAATTAACATTACTGCTAGGAAGACAAATTCAGATAGCTAACATTACTGCTAGAAAGATGAACACAAATAGTCAACATTACTTCTAGGAAGACAAATCTTACCTGTATTAGTACCTAAAGCAGTGGCTATGCTAGCAGTCAAGACTTCTTCATCGCTAACATTACTGCTAGGAAGACGAATCTTACCTGTATTAGTATCTATAACAGCGGCTATGCTAGCAGTCAGGATATCTTAATAATTAACATTACTGCCAGAAATATGAACACAGATAGCTAACATTACTGCTAGGAAGACAAATCTCACCTGTATTATTATCTATAACAGCGGCTATGCTAGCGGTCAGGATTTCTTCATCGCTAGCATTACTGCTAGGAAGGTGAATACAGATAGTCAACATTACTGCTAGGAAGACGAATCTCACCTGTATTAGTATCTATAACAGTGGCTATGCTAGCAGTCAGGATATCTTAATAATTAACATTACTGCTAGAAATTCAAACACAGATAGCTAACATTACTGCTAGAAAGATGAATCTCACCTTTATTAGTATCTACAACAGTGCAGTCAAGATTTCTTCATCGCTAACATTACTGCTAGGAAGATGAATCTCATCTGGATTAGTATCTACACCAGTGGCTGTGCTAGCAGTCAGGATATAGTTAACATTACTGCTAAAAAGATGAACACAAATAGTCAACATTACTTCTAGGAAGACAAATCTTACCTGTATTAGTATCTATAACAGCGGCTATGCTAGCAGTCAGGATATCTTAATAATTAACATTACTGCCAGAAATACGAACACAGATAGCTAACATTACTGCTAGAAAGATGAATCTCACCTTTATTAGTATCTACAACAGCAGCTATGCTGGCCATCAGGATTTCTTCATCGCTAACAGATGATGAACACAGATAGCTAACATTACTGCTAGGAAGACAAACACAGATAGCTAACATTACTGCTAGGAAGACGAACACAGATAGCTAACATTATGGCTACGAAGATGAATCTTTCCTGTGATAGTATCTACAACAGCGGCTTTGCTAGCAGTCAAGGATGTCTTCCAGGCTGTGGGGGGATTCCCAATGGTTATATACCATATTTGCGTAATGAATGCTGGGTATGGTAGTGAGAGAACACTGATGAATGAAAACACAAAAAGGATAAAAAATCATGAATGCTGTCAAAGCGATGAGGTTGAGCAATGCAGTGCCGCACTACAGAACGCTACATAACACAACAAATAACACTAACGCTAGTTTTAGGCCAAAATGCCCCTTTGACCGTTATTTGACTGAAAACGACTGATTGTAGATAAGCAGCTAGAATTTATCTAGATTTAGACTGTATTTAATTTTACAATACCCTGCTGTATTCTACAGTCTGCTGTTACCAGAAAGTAATGACTTCTCCTTTTGAGCCTTGGTTCCTCTCAAAGGTTCTCTTTCATGTTCTTGGAAAAACAAAAAAACCTTCTGCTTTCTGATTCAGTTGAAGTTGAATTAATGTTAAAATTAAAAAAAAAAAAACTCAAAATATTTATGCAAGATCTTTTACAGGACATTTAGGATATGGCATAAAAATCCAGTTAGAGCAACCACAACAAGATTGTATGTCTGATAAAGACCTTTGCATGCCCTTTCCTGTCTCCTTTCACCAAGAATGCCCAGAAGAAGGAAACTCACACGCTGCCATTCATTGTGCCTGTAAGGTTCATAAACATGCCACCACTTCACATGGCAGTTTCCTGAAAACCAGCCAAGGTGCAAAGATGGTGCAAATGTGGTGGTGATAGATTACCTTATATGGAGTAAGTGTACCAACCGCAGGGTATATGAAAAGAAATTACACTGATTTTTCATAATTAAATGGTTAAGATGTAAACAAAGAGTGGTTTAAAGTGACATGCTCTTTTCTAGAGAAGCTCAGAATTACGGAGCCCCTGAGGGACTATGGTAAGTTGATGACATTGCATTCCCTCGCAAATGTTTTGCGTTCCCTTGCAAATAAAATGCATTCCCTCACAAATGTTTTGCATTACAATGCAAACGGTTTGCAATCACTTGCAAAAGCTGTGCTTTGCTTAAGCTCAGACATGGAGCAGCTCGTGGAATTTTACGTTGATTGAAATATAAAGACATAATGTCGCTTCTCAAAACAAAACATGATTATGCTATTAGCGCAAACTGAAATGCTTTTTTAAGAACGAGTGTCCTCGTACAGTAAAAGCTACATTTACAGAGACTGCAGAGAACAACTGCTGAATAAACTCAGAATAGACTGACGAAACTGGGGAAACTGCTTTTAATGTTAGCTATGCTAAAAACAAAGCTCTAATGTAAGCAATGTCGTTGGGCACCTCTGGTCCTACGTCTGCTTGCTGTCTGACTATCATATATTTTGCAAAGGGAAGCATTTGTGTGGGAACTTTTTTTTGCGAGGGAACACAAACCATTTGCGAAAACAAAGTGAAGCAAAAAAGTAAAAAAAAAACAAAACCGTTGCCTAATTAAGTATGCGAAGATACGCGAACTGATTGGTTGGCCCGCTCGTGACGTCACACACGCGTGGAGACTCGGTGAAGTTCAGTAAGGAAAAACCATCTAACGTTTGGAGCGCCGCAGAGAGAAAGAGCGAGGATGTAGTTCGCTGCGCTCCTCTGTGTTCAGCACATTACCTTTAAAATGCACCCCTCTTTGAGAGCGCTGTGCTGAATGAGGCGTAGTTCTTCAGAGTCTTGAGCTGGACATCTGTGCAGGAGTTCTGAGGATTTATTAGACCTAAAACTGAAGACTGTAACGGTAAGATTAGACTTCTGTCATCACTTCTGTCCTGTGACTGAACGGAGGAAAGCGCTGTGTTGTGTTATTGACGTCTAACGGATCAAATGTTGCCTGCTAGTAAAAGTTGCACGTTTTAGCAAGACACTTTTCTGTTTCATCCCCAGCTATTTGATAAGATTAGATTCGCAAACGTAGCTGTTATATGAGTCGTTCATACAGTACAGTTCAAAAGTTTGGAACCAACGTTTCTCTCAAAAATATAACATCTATTTTGCTGAGAAAAATTGAAATGATGCCAATATGTTAGTCCTGTTCAGTTTCACAGGCTTCAAAGGAGGAGTACACACTTAAAAAGATGGTTCTTCCAGGGTGCTTTAGTAAAGCTAGCTAATGGTTCTATTTAGAACCATGAGGTCTATTTAGAACCATTTGCTTACTTAAATGGTTCTTTGTATGGTGAAATGGTTCTTTAGAGTGATGCAAAATGCACTATATATTTCTATATAGAATCTTTTTGAACATATTTCTATACACACTTAAAGATGGTTCTTCAAGGGCTCTTTAGTATAGAAAATAGTTCTATATAGAACCATGAACACACAAAGAACCCTTTGCATAACTAAAGGGTTCTTTGCATCATGAAACTGGTGGAGAATGTGTCATACATGGTTCTATTTCGCTGCTGTTGGAGCAAAACCTCATATCTCAAAAATGATAACTTTACAGGAGAAGGAAAAAACAGGCTTTACTTTTAATGTAAGTCAATGGAACCAGACTTATTTCCAAGTTATTCTTTTGGTCCGTTCATTTTCAAAAAGCAAAATAATTAATAAAATTCTAAAATGACTGTTAAGCTTTGAAGTTATAATAAAATGATCATCCATTCATCAAAACTGATAAAATCTGGAGGCAGCTAAATGGTAAATAGATAATAACATAATATATTATTAATTATTAATTAACATTGTTCACAGAATTCCTGAAATATTGAATAAATCATAAAAAATATTTTTGGTGAACGGTTTGGAACAGTTAAATCCACATTGCATAATTTATTACTGTATATAAAATTGTAAATGTGGGAAATGAGTGCAAACTTTTGTACGTCAACATAGAGTGAGCATTTTCATATGACTGAGGCTTTTATATATGCTTTACTTGGTGACAAATACCACTTGTTATTATTATTATTATTATTATTATTATTTGGGAAATATGTTTTGTTTTTGTTTGTTTGTTCTGTAAAAAACATTTAATCTTTTAATCAAATGTACAACAAAGAACATACATATCTGATGTAATAGGTTGAGAAGCAAACCAAATGACACCAAATATGTTGAATACAGTAACCAAATACATTTAATAAAGGCCGCAATGTGATTTTTCCATTATCTTTAAAATCTGTTTGGACGTATGAGTCCCACCCACGCTGCGGTAGGCATTTAAGGGGAAATCCAAATGCCTATGAGTTTCAGAAAACTCACTATGATTTAGGTCTGTGTCAAGGAGACCTTATGCATTATTGCTCAACCCTTGAGTGTTTGAGCTTGTGGTGCTACACCTGTGACCTCTAGTGGACAACAGTAGAATAGCGTGTTGAAGTATATTTACTTACTGTCTACTCACTCATTCGTCATCTAAGCTACTTATCCTCCTGGGTTGCAGGGGCTGCAGGAGCCTATCCCAGTGCTCTTTGGGTGGAAGGCAGGAAACAAACTTGACAGGTCGCCAGTCCATCACAGGGCAGATAAACAGACATGCACATTGCTTACTGTCTATCACTAAAAAAATCCAAAGAGGGTCATTCTACTCCAAGTTATCCAGGGTTTCCATGGGAAAATAAACAAAGCAAAAATGTCAAGTGAACTCATGTCAACATGGAGCATCTCAAAACTGTGCTTCAGTTACTTTTTAGCATAACAAACGTCTAAGAATTTCCCCATTTGGTTCTAAATTGTACCGTGAATCTAGAGTTTAGCCACTGCCAGAATCACTGAACTGACCTGAAATATTAATTGGGTATAAATACAACATTAAGAATAACATTTCACTTTAAATCAACTGCTAATATGTTAATAAATTCCAAAAATAGGTTCATTTATTGGAAGATTTGTGTATATTTTGTCTCAAATGTATGGTTTAGGTTAGAACTTTAGGTTTTAGGCTAGTTTTATGTAGTGTTTCTACATTTCTACACTGTTAGAAATAAAGGTTTTATGCAGGTATATTTTTCGTTCATCAAGGTACAAACAATGTAAATGTTCCCTCAAAGGCACCGTAGTGGTCTTCAGGCCCAATTGTGTAGCTTAAATAAGTTTTTCCAGGTGAAAAACACGTATTTGTACCTTTTCATAACCTAATGTTTTAAAACAGAACAGTAAAATAAAAAGCCTGCAGACGAGACGGGGTGCGTGGAGTCGACACAACTTTGTAAATATAATTTCAGTTGATTATGGTACAATTAAATTCTCTGACTGAAGGTACTGAGATGTACCACCCCATTGAAAAGTGACATTTTCATACCCTTATTTCTGAGAGTGTATGAAACCTGTGTTATTAAGTTCTTCATGCAATATATTTAAGGCTGCACCATGAATTTTTGATGTTTTTTTGAAAGGAACTTTCTTTAAAAATTATCCTGAAGTAAAACAGTGTGATTAGCATATGGAAAAATAAGATGTGCTATGACTTTGACATGAAGAAGTCCATGACGTAACTGTACTAAGTGAGTTTGCTTGACACTGTGATGCCTTGATCAAATCTGTATTATCAAGTTACAGTAACTTCTGCATATTATTTCTCTTCTATACTAGGTTTGAGGTACAATGACAGAGATTTCTGCACACACTCCCATGACATCGTATCTGGGCAACAGGACAGAGATGTCTCTTTATCACAACTCATCTGCCAGTAACTGGTCAGAGGAAGAATATTATGATGACTACGATGACGATGTCCATGCAGAGCTCAGGCAGTCCCTCAACATCATGTCACTCATAGTCTACTGCCTAGCCTTTGTGCTCGGGGTCGTTGGGAACGGCATTGTGATCTGGGTGTCTGGATTCAGGATGAAAAAGACGGTGAACACAGTCTGGTTCCTTAACCTGGCCGTGGCAGACTTCCTGTTCACCGCCTTCCTGCCTCTAAGCGTGGCCTACACCGCCATGGGCTTCCACTGGCCTTTTGGCCGCTTCATGTGCAAACTCAACAGCACCCTCAGCTTCCTCAACATGTTCGCGAGTGTGTACATCCTTGTGGTGATCAGCGTGGACCGTTGCATATCTGTGGTGCGCCCCATATGGGCACAGAACCATCGCAGCGTTGGTCGAGCATCTGTGCTGAGCTTCGGTGTCTGGGTGTTTGCTCTGATCTTGAGTTCACCCTACTTCGTCTTCAGGGACACTGCGCCGGACTACGACAACGAGAAGGTGATCAACTGCTTCAACAACTTCGCCTTCTCCGATGACTACGATTCAGTAGAGGTGGTGAACCTCCGCCTTCTACGACACCGCGCCATGATCATCACGCGATTCTTGCTGGGGTTCGTTGTGCCTTTTTCCATCATCGTCTCCTGCTATGCGGTCATCGTCCATCGGCTCAAAAGAAACCGTTCCATGTCTGGCCGCACTGGGCGCCCATTTAAGATTATCGCCGCCGTGATCACCGCCTTCTTCCTGTGTTGGGCTCCGTACCACATCCTGGTGCTGATCGAGATGGCTAACCACATGGCATCTAAATACAGCCCCACCCTGGAGCATGTCACCACCATTGGCATTCCCATAGCCACCAGCTTGGCTTTCCTCAACAGCTGCCTGAACCCGCTCTTGTATGTGTTCATCGGTCAGGATTTTAAAGACAAGGTGCGCAAGTCGGTCCTGAAGGTTCTGGAGACGGCTTTCACCGAGGAGGTGTCTCGCACCAACACCTGCACAAACTCCTTTAACGCCAGCCGCGGCAAGGAACAAGGGAGTAAATCTCTTTCCGATGCCGAGGTGTAAAGACTGATGCAAATGCCATCTTATAGGCGAGGACGTACTATAGGGCTGTTTGGTTTGTGTAATTCACCATCATAAGTAACCTCCTGGATAAGCCGTGCCTTGTACCAAATATCTGAGGTACAGTTTTATTTGGGCAGTGGCACAAAGACACTGCTTGGTGACTGCTTCTAAAGTCAAAGAAGATGAAGGTATAACTGGAAAATGAAGAAACATGACTGGATCCTCATAATGGAGCACAAGAGGTATAATATGCATGAGAGGTGTAATACATATGAAGGATGTATAAAGAACAGGGCTGTTGAAAAGTGGCACTGTTAGTTGCAAATATCCAAAGTGTTGGAATGTCTCACATTCTGGTTTGGTGAGCAGCATTTATAATAAATATAACACATGTTGACTAAATGTACCACAAATCTAGAATGTTTTTTTGTTTTTTTTTCGTGTCTGGTCATTTTTTCACAGTCTTAAAAAAATAACACAAAGGATTCTTTGAGTGACGCCACAGAAAAAACACTTTTAGTTCCCTAAAGAACATCATTCATTAAAGCATGCATACAACATGTTCTGTAGAACGTCTGTGTGTAGGAATCACCACTATGTACAAGCCTATTCATATTTATCAAACATGTTTATAGCAAAAATTTAATTCTTAATAGTCAAAATTTGATTTTACTAGTGATAATTCATGAGTTTCCCCATTCTTTTCAATGGGGGAAATCATTTTTTACTAGTGACAGTTTCATTTTCACATGTAGAAATTTAATTCTTGATATCAATTAGTAGAATTAAATTCTTGATATCAAAAATTAAATTTTCACTAGTGAAAATTCAGTTTGATATCAAGAATTGAATTCTTACTAATAAAAATAGAATTTTTACATGTAATAATTCAATATAAACTAGTATAACTGTATTTTGTATTAGTAAAAATGTACATTATTACTAGTAAAAATCAAATTTTCACAAGTAAAAATTTGTAGTTTGTATTTTTACTAGTTAAAATTTAATTCTTGTTATCAAAAATTACATTTCCATATTTGAAAATGAAATTTCCACCAATGAAATGTTAATTATTACTAGTACAACTGTTTTCCCCAGTAAAATGAATGGGGAAACTCATGACTTACCACTAGTGAAAATAAAATTTAGAATTTTGGAAATTAAATTTTCACGTGTGTAAATCGAATTCCTGATATCAAGAAAAAAAGGATTAAAAGCTAAAATGGCTTGCCATAATTCTTACTATGCTAATTGAGTTTTCACATGCTTAAACATTATTCCTACAAATAAAAATTTAATTTTGAATGTTTTTCACATTTCAAATTTCACTCCTACTAGTGTTGATAACACTTAACAATTAACTCTGAATTTCGGAAATTAAGCAGTTATGGATTAAAAGCCCAAATTAAGAAGCCAAATTTGTTCAGTGTTGTAAGAATATCGGCATTATGTTGCTTATCATGGCCAAGATCCGCCTATATTGACAGGAAAGAATCAGATGAGTTGCAAAATAATCGTGCTACCCATTGGGCCGATAAAACCCTCTGAATGCACAGACATGTGGATATCCCTTCAGTGTAGTACTGACAAAATCCCAATTGTTGTGATCATTTTAGGGTTCAATAAATATCAGACTTGCTGTCTGCATGTGGGTGGAGCATCTGAGGCGAAGGCTTGCATTTATTTGACTTCTTGTTATGACATTAAGTACAGTTTTTTGATTGAACTGACATTTTTTTCTATGACAGATGAGCACAATAATCGTCAGTCATTCATAAGTTACACTGAAATAGTTGATAATAATTGGAGTCTGCATTTATCATAATCAGTTCACCTGCAAGTACAGTTTTCTAACACTAGGGGCTTCTACATATGCATGGTTAAGAGCAGTTCTAACATCTAAATATATATATATATATATATATATATATATATATATGTCATGGTTTCATGAAGAATGGACAAATAGAAATGGTTCAAAATTACTTGGAATAAATACTTTCTACATGGATTTCCATTCAAACTTAAGAACTTCTTTTCTTTCACATGTAAAGATAGCATTTTGGAGATACATGGTTTTGTTCCGACAGCAATGATACGCACATTCTCACGTTTAATGAACGTTCTGTACCAATTTAAGGGTTCTTCCTCAAAACTTGACATTATTTAGAGGTTCTTTAAGCTCCACATTCATAACCCTTGTTAACACAAATGACTTTTTTTAGGGAACCAAAAGTGGTCCTTTTATGGCATCACACTAAGACACTTCCTTGGAACCTTTATTTTTAAGAGTGCAGATATCAGATTTCTTCGAAAGAGATGAGTAGGCAGACTCAGCCTTTTTTTCTTTTGTCACTACATGTTTAGCCAAGAGGATTTCATCTTTCTGCACTAGCTGTCAACACAGCCGAGCTATTAGGCTGTGCATTTTCCCTGCTGGATGAGTCCTTGTGGTAGAAATAAAAAAGGATTCATGCATCAAGGGTAGGCAGACATTTGTTTTAAAGCTGATATACTTTTAAAATAATATTTAAAAAGCATTCTTTGGAATGATGCATAGATAAACCACTAAAGAACATTTCAATGATGTTTTTAAAAGAACTAATTGAGTACATTTTAAAAAACTAGACAACAAGAACCATTTATGAATCTTAATCTTTCAGAATGTAGTAGTGATGGTGAAAATTACAAGGAAACATTTGATTCCCTAAAGAACCCTGTTCTAAGGTTCTTTAGGCTTTAAAAAAAAGTCTTTCACATTTACACTTTTTTTACAAAAATGATTCTCTACAGAACCGCCTATTCGATATTTTGAAGAACTACATTACATTATGTGGAGAACCATGTTTTAAAAAGAGAAGATGCAGAACCTTGTAACGGTTTAAAAAATGTAAAGATTTACAGCTCTTCGTTTACATTCACAAATCTAGAGAATGAATTCTAAAGAACTATCCATTCAAAGTTTTGAAGAACCTCGACATAACGTGAAGGTTCTGTACCACTTAAAGATTTTTTTCTAGAACTGTACATCCAAGATCCAAGAACCATTCAGGAACCTTTTATCATTGGACGTGTAGCAGTGATGCTGGAAATTACAAGCAACTGTTTAAACCAGAACTGTATTATTTTTGTGTGTGTGATGAACCATATAGGTTTTATTATTGGAGATTATATTATATATAATGTAGTATGTTATATACACTGATCATGACCACCTCCTTGTTTAAACGCTCATTGCCCATTTTATCAGCTCCATTTACTATATAGGTGCACTTTGTAGTGCAGCACTGCTGTGTCTGATCCACTTGTACCAGCACAACACACACTAACACACCACCGCCACGTCAGTGTTACAGCAGTGCTGAGAATGATCCACCACCCAAATAGTACCTGCTCTGTGAGGGTCCATGGGGGTCCTGACCACTGAAGAACAGGTTAAAAGGGGGGCTAACAAAGTATGCAGAGAAACAGATGGACTACAGTCTGTAATTGTAGACCTACAAAGTGCACCTATATAGTAAGTGGAGTCATTTGCTGAATTTAGCCTGTTCAGACTGTGTTGTACCACGTATCTCATAGTAATGCTGTATATTTCTTGCCTGTCTTGCCAGCCTATTATTTTTGTTTAATATATGTAACCATCCATTTTCATTACAGCATTTGTAAATGTCTTGCTTTGCATATGTTTTCTTGTACTTTGGAAATGTAAAAAAAAAAATCACTAATAACATTAAATGGACTATGTCAGAATACTTATGGTGTAAAAACATGATGCATCATTAACCATCTTTTCACATCTGGCTAACCACCGGCTACATGAAAGGATACAAACTGATGTCAAAGCCTCTTTCGGTACATTTTAACTTGCGTGTTTCCTCACCCACTTTTTATTCTAGTAAATCATACTTCCAGTGAAAATAACTGTGTGACATTTTATGTAATTTTATGAACCTCTTGTAAAACTGAAATTTTCTGCTGAAAGAAGTGTAGATAATAAAAACTAAAGTCTGAGAGAGCAAAAGTCAAGTAACTGATGTTGGAGTGACAGAAAGCCAATATCAAACCTATTCTGTGAGCTTTGGCACTGGAGCATTTTGGCTAAACTAATAATAGCTTAGTTAGCAGGCCAAATGAGTCACACACACCGTAACACAGGCTTTTTCCAGCTAACTGAGGCTAAATGACACCCATTTAGAAGATATCTGAGAAAAGTGACTGGTGTTAGAGTGAAAGCTGAACTTGAACATGTTCTATGGTTTCCATTTTTTCATTGAAAACACTGCTGTTTCACCCATCATAGTGGTTCGTGATTGACCGCTGACATGGTGACAGCATTACTGGCGAAAATGGATGGTTATCAGAGGAGAGCTTTAAAAGTGTAAATTGTTTATTTAAGGTGAGAAATGAAGCACAATGCTCTGTACTCTTTTATTTTGAGTTGAACAATACTAAGTTCATCTGGAATTCAACAATGAGACATTCAGCATCTATGGCTGCTAAAAAAGTCAACATCTGGTTTATTTCACCTCTGCACCCCTCCAACCTCAAAATTTGGGAAAACTGAACTCGACAGAATGTTCTGCTTACCACCACAGTCTGCGAACATTGTTGCTAGCAGTGGAAGTATTTTCCATTGCGGCTCCTTTGAAAACAATGGAACAATGGTTTGTTGTTATCCATCTACCACTGACATGTGAACACAGCATTAGCTGTCAGTGAGCCACTGTCATGCTTAGTTTTTCCTGGTTGTAATTTTCTCTGTTTTCTTTTACCACTACCCATTGGTGAACCTCCCACACCAATGTGTATATTTGGCCATTTTGACACAAAATCATTTTGAAATACCATCATCATTTTAAATATGGTATACCTTATTATCATAACACCTGCCCTACCCTAGTAATTAGTTAGATTTATTCGTGTACTTGGGTGATGTTTTGAGAGACCTGTACTCTAAGTGTTTTAAAGTGATAATATTTTTACCTCTCATGTATTTTGTGTTATACAACAGTTAGTTCCGGCCACGCAAGCTAGTTGGTTGAAAAGTGTTCTAACTGTGCTGGTATTTCGCCATAACATCACAGGTTTTTGAATGTTTTTACTTTTTACTTTGCGAACAAACAGAAAATGGACACTTTTAAGATCACATTTGACTGACAGCCGATTTGGTCATACTCTGAAGATGAGACCACCACTGAGCAAGCTTTTCAGTCGGCAGCTGTAACAGAAGAACAGCTAAACAACCTGGAATCAGCCAGAAATTAACCTAATACCATTCGCCAAACTGAATGGGCTGTAAGATGCTTTACAGACTGGCTGGAACAAAACAACATTAATATTGATCTGGCAAAAATTGACAAAACTGAGCTAAACTTGATTTTGCGACAGTTTTGTGGCTCAGTCTTCAAAAGGCGAGGCTTACAGCAGACTGTGCAGCGAGTGAGCGGAGTTCGTTACTCTGACGTAGCAACAAGCTGCTTGTTAAGGAACTATAATTTGGCAGAAGGAATTGCGAACATTAAAACATATTAAATGCCGCAATCACGGCCCAGTTTATTTATTTCTTACTTTATTTATTTAACTGTTGTATAAAAGCAACACAACACACTCCCTCTCATGTTCTATTGCTTAAATAAAGGGCTCTACTTTTTACTCTGTCCCACTTTAGCCATTCACATGTAGCTTCTAATTTTTGCTTTAATTTCATTCTGTTCTGCTTTGCTGCTTGCAACTCTCACTTTGAGGCTTTAGGATTTTCTTTTAGACCAAAAGTAACCAACAGTGTTTTCTTTTGAGTGTGGTTTTTCAAGGTTATGTATTTTTTTTGCACCACAGGAATGCACAAAGCACAAAACAAGAGTGCAGAGTGCTGAGCACAGAGTTTTAGAAAGAAACAAATCTTACCCCAAAAAAGCCACATAGAAAGCATTAGAGTATTATAAAAGCAGTGCAATCCAAAATGAAGAGTCAGACAGCAGTAGGATAAACTGCTAAATGTTTCACGACAGAAGAACATTTAGCAAAATTGTACTGAATGTTATTGTTAAAGGTCATCATGAAATGTTCACACAATGTAAAAAAAAAAAGATTTGATCATTAAGATGTAAACAAAGTCATTCAGGGTGGTCTGTTGTGAAAAGTTCCCATGTAGAGAAATTGTTTATAGTTGTGATGATAGGAACCAGAAGTGTTTAATGACATTGTTTTAAAGTAGTT